TGTTTTGTTTCACGTTTTGCTTTTCAATATGACACCAACGGTGAGGCAGTCATTGTAGTTTTGCAAAAGAGAAAGCAGAACTATGAAATGCTTATCTTTCTTATATGTACACAAACATAAATATATATGAGTGTACAGAATAGTTTCTTATTGCAAAGATAATACAAGCCCATGTGAGAATGCTGACAAAAAGAGGAAAAAGGAAATAATTTCTAATCCCACTCAAAAAGATGGTGTTAGCCATTTGGTATGTATCATTGTAATCTTAATTTATGTATATTTATTTAAAATTCTAACAAAAATATAAATAGAATTTTTGTATATTGTGTTTCATAATTATTCTGCATTTTAAATGCAAATCTATTATTATCTAGGGACTCAAAATCAAATTATTTTGTAATGAGTACCTACTTCCTTCAATTGCTATGCTAAAATAGTAATAGCCAAATATGAACCTCTGTTAGAGGAAGGACTTTGACCAAAACCAGGGGATCTCCACTCAAAATTTCCTGGCATAACCCAAGTCTGACATTCTGCTTTGCTTTAGCTACATGGGTCTCCTAGCACATGAGTCTGTTTACTGAATTAAACTAACATTTCAGGGGCGCCTGGGTGGCACAGGTGGTTAAGCATCTGCCTTGGGCTCAGGTCATGATCCCGGGATACTGGGATCGAGCCCTGCATTGACTCCCCGCTCAACAGAGAGCCTGCTTCTCCCTCTCCCTCTGCCTGCTTCTCTGCCTACTTGTGCTCTCTCTCTGTCAAATAAATAAATAAAATCTTTAAAAAAGTAAATAAATAAACTAACATTTCATTCCACTTTCTAAAAGCACAGAGTTCTAGTAGATCTATCTAGCAATTCTAACCCACAAAGGTGTAAATTTCTTTTTTTTTAAGATTTTATTCATTAATTTATTTGAGAGAGCAAGAATGAGAGAGAGAGAGAACACATGAGAGGGGGGAGGGTCAGAGGGAGAAGCAGACTCCCTGCCGAGCAGGGAGCCCGACGTGGGACTCAGTCCCGGGACTCCAGGATCATGACCTGAGCCGAAGGCTGTTGCTTAACCAACTGAGCCACCCAGGCGCCCCCACAAAGGTGTAAATTTCTTACAAAAAGATAGGAATGCTAGTTCTTTGGTTTCAGAGATGCTCAAATGCCGTTTTGGTACAGGGTGAACAAGCAGCCCAAAATAAAAGATTAAGCTAACAATTTCCAAGAATAATTAGATTATAGGGACAATGGTACACCTCACATAGTTACATACTTTTTATCTCATGTAATCTTCACAAGAACTTTGTGAAGTAGGTATTATCAGTCTCATTTTACAGATGAGGATACTGAGGCCCAGCAGTGGTAAGTAACTTGCCCAAAAATAGACAACTGTTCAGTCTTCTTATTCTAAATCGAATGCATTTTCTTCCAGCACACAACTACTTTAAATGCTATCAGAGCAATTAGAACAAATGCTAAATCATTGCCATTTAATAGGTAACAATTTGAAAAGAAAATTAAACCTCTTCCTCATATAACTCTTTAAAATACATCTCTAATTAAAGGTTGAAAAATACTTGACTACATAAAAAGTTTTAAGGTATCCAAAAACAGCATAAACATAATTAAAAGACAAAGCACAAAGACAAAATTTAATATTTTGAAAAGTTTCTTAAAATTAAGTTAGAAGTGTGCCTGGGTGGCTCAGTTGGTTAAGCGACTGCCTTCGGCTCAGGTCATGATCCTGGGGTCCCGGGATCGAGTCCCGCATCGGGCTCCCTGCTCAGCGGGGAGTCTGCTTCTCCCTCTGACCTTCCTCCATCTCATGCTCTCTCTCTACCATTCTCTCTCTCTCTCAATAAATAAATAAAAATCTTAAAAAAAAATTAAGTTAGAAAATAAAAACCAAGAAAATGAGCAAAGGATATAAGTTGGCAAGTGGCAAAAGAAGAAATACAAACTGTAAATAAATATGAACAAATTAGCAGTGTTAGTAGCAATAAAATGGAAATGAAAAATTAAATTAAGATGCCATTTTTAACTAATCATTGGTATATTTTTGTTTTGTTTTGTTTTGTTTTGTTTGTGATGTAATTGATACAAACTTTTTGGAAAGGAGTTTGCTTATATGGATCAAAAAGTAATCCAGCAATTTCCCTTGAAAGAATCAGTTCTAAGCAGAGATATAGTCTGCAAAGGTATATGCAGAAGGATCACTACATTTATTTAATTACAGAAAGATTTATGAAATAATTTTTAGTAATAGATTATCAAACTGTGATACATCTCATAACTATTAAAATTTGTTTTATTTTCTTCTTTACACTTTTATATTAACTCAAATTTTCTTCAGTGAACATGTATTATTCCTTTAATCAGGAAAAAAAAATATGATTCTAGAGATGTCATTGGCCAAATCCATATTCTGTCCTCAAGTCTGTGCTAGACTCTGTGTAAAAGTGATTTATGTAAAAAATGACATTAATGTTTAGTAAGCACTTAACCTGAAAAGCTCATTGTGCTGTGTGCTTTGCATATTTTATCTCAAGCAGGCCTTACAAGAATCCTACTAGTCGATACTATCTGTGGTCTGCACTTCAGAGCCTCAATGAAAGCTAATGCAAGATATTAAAAATAAGAGAATAAGATTGCCTTCTGAGAATTAAAGTTAAAAATAATGAGTCAGAAAGGAAATACAAGAAGTTCCCTAGAAGCAGTAGGCTGGCTCATGGGCCCACAAAACCAGGTGTCTTGACAGAGCTGAAAGAATGAACAGGACTGTAGGTTTACTCATCATAGGTTAGGGGAATGCCCAAGAAAGAACAGTTCCAGAGGCAAATATGGGCCTCATCCATCCAAGATCCTTAGCCCAGGCTCTTTCAGAGTTTCCAGTCTTGCTGGCTACCAGGGCTTCCCAAATTTTTGTTAGCTGAGAAAGCCAGCTGCAGGTGAGGGAGGAGCCAGATATGACCAAGAGCATCCATTCTGGAGATGTCTATCTTGGGACATCTCAGACTGCTGGGGTCCTCCAACTCCCCTTGTTCTGAAACCTGAGGACATTTTGGATTATGACCTACTTCCCATGAAAGTCTACTGACAGGAAGAAAATAGTTACCTTGCAGACACCAGCATTTTGGTTCCAGCAGAGCTCCATTTCTCCGTGTGGAACGAATCCATAGTCATTCTGATTTGTATAGTTGATTCTCATCATTCATGGAAGTCTTGCTCTACAAGGTGTCCTCAAACACTGACTTAACAAATGCTAAACTATTGCTCCAAGGGGAAACGGGATTAGGCTCATGTGAGCCTCTGGCCATTTTTTTTTTTCCCAATTGATCAATACATACCTTTATTTACTGTTTCTTTCTGTTTAAAGACCACCTAATATATATTGTTGATTCATTAGCATTGCACTCACAGCCAACAACACCGTATAAGTCATGCCAGAACAAAGCTTATCTAACGCACATATTTTCTCTGTAAGGCCCATAACAGCTTTCTTGCCCTTGGGAACACTAGACAACACTTCAGCACTACACTTGAGGGCCATTCTAAACAGCAAAATCACCAACAAAAAGCACAAAAATGAAAAAAAAAATGACACCAAAAAGACCACAAAAAGGATGCTTGTTTATAGTTTGAGAGCTGAAGCAAGAACACAGAGCCTTATTTCACCTCAGCTGGGAACATGTGAACCAGGTAACTCAAATTTTTTGCCACCCTGCGTGTGTACATGAGTGACTCAGAAAGTACCGAAGGTATTGATTTGGGGGTTAAAAATAAATTTTAGTGAGTAGGTGAATTTGCAGATATGAAATCTGTGAATACTGAAGACTGACTGCCTACCTCAGGCAGATGAACTTGGTGAACAGGAACCTCACCCTGAAAGATGCTCCAGCTCTTCGTGTGCACACAAGACAGGCTCCTGAACCTGGAAATCTGTTCTTACAAGAGTCAACCAGCTCTTTCCCCACGCGGCACAGCACAACCTACCTCACTGGGGGCTGCTCTTTTTTGTCTCTGTACTTCTATAAAGTGTTTCTCAAACCTTAGAATGCATCAGGAAGATTTGAATGCATCATGGAGCCCACCCCTTACATTTCTAACTCAGTAAGTCTGGAAGAGTGTCCCAGATTTTGCATTTATGACAAGTTCCCATGTGATGCTCATGCGGCTGGTCCAGGGACTGTACTTTGAGAACCTCTGCTCTATACCATTATCTCCATTTTGCAAATGAACACCCGAAGCTCAAAAGGGTTGAGTAACTTGTCCAAAGTCTCATCCACAACTACTAACTGGCTTTCAGAATAAGATGTGGCTGAATTCATGATCAGCTTTTTCTGTTCAACTGCAATATCTTTGGGGCAGATCTCATGCTAACATGGCATTTCTCCCATGTGTCAACTGTTTTAAGTGGTAGTTTTATTCCTAGCCAGGTCCACAACAGTCTGTTCAGTCATAGTCGAGTTAAGCTCCAGAACCAAGAGCGCTGTCTGATTTTTAGGCCTTCGGCAGGCAGGGCTGGGAATACAGGAAGGAGCAGAGGAGAAAGAAGACGGGTATCTCTCTCAAACTTGCTACAAGATGACTCATACTTGATAACAGCTTAAGCTATCAGAATACAAAGGAATTGTTGTCATCACGGAAACTTAATGGTAGATTTTGGTTGAGAAGCGCTAGAAGGTAGTGATTATACACACACACACACACACACACACACACACACACACAGAGGAGTGGGGAGTCTGACCTGATTATCTGTTATCTGAGCTTGAGTCAAAGTAAAACACAGAGTAAGTGCTAAGTAGTAGCTAATAAGGTCAATTTGGGAGGGGTAAGAGGGAGATGCTGAAACAAGCTTAACCGGGAGACTCCTAACCAAGTTCCAGAGTCAGGTACTTGAGGAAAATCCATCTTCACATCGGATGAAGTTGCTAGGCTACTAGGTCCATTACTTGTGTGCTGTATCATATTTCATCAAGAACATTTCTACATCTTACCTTTGCAGCAGTATTCCATACTTCTGCTTACCTACATTTGGATTCAAGCACATTTTGCCATTGACGAATGATGCTGAAAGATTCAATGAAATTGTGAAGAATCAGAAAATTTCTGCTAATATTGACACACCAGAGGGTGGATTTGATGCAATTATGCAAGCTGCTGTGTGTAAGGTATGCTGAGGGCTAACGCAAATTACATCTCTTATTAGCAAATCTCCTTTGAAAAGCTTAGCTAACTTTCTTTCCTTTAATTGCCATATTTCTACATTTCTTAAAACACAAAATTTTCAAAAATTCGTAATTCAGTTATGTAGAAACAGATAGTTTTCTACGTCTGATATTCACATAATCTAATAAAATTATAGTAATGTTGGGAAAAATTGGTTAAAACGATAGTCATGTATGATTAATTTTCAAAGATCAAGAGTAGATTAGTTTTTTAATTAACCATGGTAAAAATAGAAATCACAGGCAGAAACTAATGAAAAAAGTAAAAATGCCCTGAATCAGTACAAACTTCTACATAAGATTAGATATCTATTGTTTTGAACCAACAAAATAGGTATCAGAAGCTACGTTGTCCCCACAACAATGCAAGAACACCTCTCCTCCTTGACAATCAGGTATCCAAGGGAATGATTCCCCGGTCTTCAGAAGACAGCTCTTCCTGGAAAATACCAGGAAACAGACAGGGCTGAAAATCCTGGAAGGTTAGGGGTGAGGGGCAAGGTATTAGGGAAGGAAGGAAAAGAATAAGGTGGGATGGCCCTGCCAGGATCAGCTTTTGTCCCCACTAGTTCCTGGACTAATTATCAATTAAAGAGGAGAGCTCTGCTAGGAAACAGACAACAGACCATCTTAAAAAGCCATATGCTGGAGGTTATACTTTGATAAGCAATTCTTATCTTTGTATTACATTTATAATTTTTGGATGGTATCAGTAGAAAGAGAAAAATGTGCCTAATTTTGGGTGACATTTTAATAAAACAGGCATCCTTTAAGTCCATTGTGTATTGCATTCTTACCAGTTTTGCTTCAGCTTGGATTTGGGATAATCTATGACCTCCTTCATTCCCTCTCCTCATTTTTCTGGTAAATTGAAAGCTGGACAGTAAAAATAATTAACTATGTAAAAGTCAAGATCAACTGGATAGTGATTATAGTGGAACTATTTTTTTCTGAAGCATAAATCATCTGAAAGTGTTATCCAAGAAAAAGCAACTGCCATAGAATTTCATGTTTTAAATACATTAATAATTATCAACTCACAATAGGTGAAAAAGGCCAAAATAGATAGATCAGCAATATAGTTTTTATAATCTGAATGTGTCCAATCACAATTGATCCACTCTCAATAAATGCCTGCCTCTATCCCATATGACCCAAATGTTTCTTTCTCACTGTAGGAAAAGATTGGGTGGCGGAATGACTCCCTCCATCTCCTGGTTTTTGTGAGTGATGCTGATTCTCATTTTGGAATGGACAGCAAACTGGCAGGCATCGTCATTCCTAATGATGGGCTCTGTCACTTGGACAACAATAATGAATACTCCATGTCAACTGTCTTGGTGTGTAACCTGCACTCTACACCGTTTCCAGGGCTGCAAGTAGGCAAATGAAACAACACTCACTCAATACACAGCAGAATAACCCACACTTGGTGAAAACAGTGCACATTTTCTGCTTTGAGATGAACAAATTGCCCTTAGAGCTTCCCACAGGAACACAGGTGGGTGGTGGGGTTATGTGAGAAGTTTGGGTCTACTATGGCTTGAATGATCCCAGAAGCTCCTTGATTTTTCAAAGAGCCCAAGGTCAATAAGAAGCAGTGCATTCAGTTCATTCTGTTTTCAACGACAGCCCCAGAAAGGGGGGCTGAGGCCAAAACAACAGTCACCTAGGAGTTTCTGTGAATGATGGGTCCCAGAGTCATGCCCCCTAAATAACATCAAGCTTTTATGCACCGTGGTGCTCCACGGGGAACAGCTGTCAAGGACTGCTTGGCTGGTGTTTATTCACATTTGGCTTATTTTTGTCATTTAAAACATTTTTAAAATGCTGGTAACATTCAAAGGGAAAAAAAAAAAGCTCTTGACTTGTGTAAAACAAGGTAAAAATTTCAGAGCTCTTTGACATACATGATCTCATTTGATGCTCCCCAGAACCCTAGGTATCTGTTTTCCTTGTATGGACCATGAGGCTGCCATGCTCATGCATGTGTTGTTACCTCTGTCTGGAATGCCCTTCCCTCAGAGGCTGCTGAGAAACTCTTAACTGTCCTTTAAAACCCAACTCAATCATGACTACTCCCAAGAGCCCTCTTTGCCCTTTGCTGAGCCCCCAAGTGATCATCCCTCCCCTCGCTCTAGTATATAGATGTCTTCTTAACCCATCACTATGTGGAAATGTGTTTGCTTATGTTTGTCTGTCTTTCCCTAATATGCATTCCTCGGGACCAGGAGTGGTGTATTTTCTCTATTTCCTGCCAGCACAGTGCCTGGAACACAGTGGGTGTTGACTATGTATGAAATAAAATTTTAATTATGAAGTAGCAACCTGGGGAGGTCATATTATCTCCATTTAACACTTGGGAAAATATGACACAGAGAATTCAAGTGACTTCTTAAAATGACAATGCTATAGAAATGTATGTAAGAGAGAGAAGGAGAGAGAGAGAAGAGAACCAGAATCCTAATATCAGATTGGAAAAACTATTCTCTAAAAAAAGAATTCGGTGAGATAGCATATATATATGCCATATATATATGTATATGTATATGACATATATATACCCACACAGTGATGGTAATTAGTTAAAAAAAAAAAAAAACTAATGGTTCACAAATCACCTGCTATCATTCCTTGACTTAAATTGCTAAACTTCAAGATGAGTGTTTTCCCCTAAATTTTGACCCATAGTAGTCCTCATACTTTTGTCATATAAGTTGCCTTTCCATATTACAGTATCCATGAGAATAGCCACATTTTGTCTTTTAGGCTTTGAGTGCCAAGAAATGGTGAGACATAGATCTCTTTTTTATTACTTATCTTGCAACTATTCAAATGCCCCATTAACAGACATCTTGGAAAAAGTGGGACATAAAAGCAAATGCTACTTCTTGCTTATTATGACCTTCTCATCTAATAAATGTTCAATTCACTGTTGCTCAGTAAGTTGCTGCAAATGCACAGAAGTCATGGGTCATCTCCATGCCTGCCTACAGCATAGTTCCCTGGGTCCTTTGAGTAATTCCTATTCACTCAACACTGGGCTCGGCTCCTGGGGCCCCAAAACAATAGGACATGGTCCCTGGCCTTGAGGAACACACACACAATATACTTGTGTGAATTAAGCCAACTGATCTAGGTCAAATAGAAGAGACATTGGTCCACCTACGAAGGGCTTCATGGTGCGATCCTTGCTACACACCCACAGCAGCTGAAAGTTCAAGAATGTGGAGATAGGAGGGGCCAGCGCTGGGGGAGTGCAGGCTTAAAGCTGAAGGATTCTTAGTGTTTGGGCAGTTGAAAAAGCAGGGAACACTGAATATGTCACTCTGGAAGATTTGTATTATCTGGACTCTACTGCTGTTTACTAATAAAAATCCAGATTGGATGGCAAGCACATATTACACAGCCAGATATGCAGTTGGGTCATTTACCTGAGTATTTTAGGCAAAACTGTACTTTTCCCTCAACTTGAATCTTGGGCGTAGTGAAGACATTAGACAGAATTACTCCCATTGTGCTGAGAATATGTGAACACGTTAGCGTCCAGGAAGGCTTACTTATCAGCGTTCCTCCACTTTGGCTGACTTCACGTTCAACATATTCTTAGTTTCTTTGTTTGCAGGTTACTCTTTCGTTTGAGTTTCCTCTTTGTACCTTATCCACATTTGGAGTCATGCAACAGCCAAACATGCTGCACAGTTTTTAACTTTGGAAAGTAGAGGCCCTGTTCAAATTTGACAGTTTATGCCTTCTTTATTTTTTTTTTTAAAGATTTTATTTATTTATTTGACAGAGAGAGGCATAGTGAGAGCAGGAACACAAGCAGGGGGAGAGGGAGAGGGAGAAGCAGGCTTCCCGCCGAGCAGGGAGCCCGATGCGGGGCTCGATCCCAGGACCCTGGGATCATCACCTGGGCCGAAGGCAGATGCTTAACGACTGAGCCACCCAGGCGCCTCTGCCTTCTTTATTTTTTAAAGGACTCATATCCCTTGGGAATGAATGTGTCAATGAAAAAAAGGTACAGTGTGTTTTCAGTTATCCTGTAAAAATATTGCAGGATCCCATAAAACTGATTACTGACATGAAAAAGTTGGTAGGAACAAACCCAAAACTGGTGCGGGAATGTCTCAGATCAGATGGACACAGGAACTGTAGTGTACCATTCCCCAGCAGGCTGTCCTTTCCTCAGCCCTCCGCCCACCCCCTCCAATTCCAGTGGGATGTTCCGAGCTACCTGCGTCCCCTCAGTCACATCTGTCATCAAGTATCCACTCCTCCCCAGACTCTAACATTCTCTACATCTTGAGTCTGCTGCCAAGTGGCACTTAGAAGAACTGTGTCTCTACCCTTGAAAATATGACACACTATAAGTTTTTAAATAAATTCCAAGTGCTCTCCTTAGGAGTGACAGGCCATAATACGCTACACTACCACACACTGACTCTTAGGAATTAATTGGATTTACAAGATTTAGGCAACAATTATTAAACCAATTAAGTGACTAATGATAATTGTGTATTTTTCTACTTAGAACCAAACTGACATGCCAAACTCAGTACGATATCTTTGAAAGAAATATTCCTTTCTTTATTTTACATACTTGTGTTAAGATGATACTTAAAATCTTTATGTCAATTTTAGGAATATCCTACAATTGGACAACTCATTGATAAACTGGTGCAAAATAACGTGCTATTAATCTTTGCCGTAACCCAAGAACAAGTTCATTTATATGAGGTAAGCAAACACAATTCGGGGAATTCCTTCGGGGAGATTACTTGACATGAAACTTTAACATGAACTCTGAGGGTTTAACGCATGGAATGCCATTAGAAAATCGTGAACACGCGACAAATATACTGGACACTTAGTCAAGTGGATTCAGTTACTGTTTGTAATTTGAATTACAAACCCAGGGGTGCGATGGAGAGTGGGAGACAGATATGGTAGAGCAAGGAAGAATGAATTCGAGAACGAAATGGTAAGTTGTAAGAGCACCAATGAATGGAGGAGAACCTACCTAACAGAAATCAGTCTGTCTTCCTTTGAACTGTTTCATCTGACAAGGAGGGGGTTAACAGAGACTGGGGGAAGAAGTGACTTGGAACTTTCAGGCATCTACAAATCAGATGGATAGAAAATATATAAATAGAGACACAATTTCAACCATTGAGAAGTAAGACGTTGAAAGAAAAAACTTGTTAAATTGGGCCAAAATATATTTTCTCCCTCCTAGTAGCTGGATTTGAAGTTCAAGTTTTTGGATGGAAACACCAGACGCAGAAAGGGAACTGTTTCATTAGATGCGCTAATGTTCATAAACCACTGCCTGAACCATAAAATGCATATGCAAACACAAAAGGTTTCCATGGTTTCATTCCAGCCTATGAAAACAATATATCAGAATACCATGAATCAAAGAAGTAGCAAATGATTTATTCCTAGAGGGTGATTTCACAGAGAAGTGAGGAATCTCCAGCGTGGCCCCGAGAAAATAGGTGTACATTAAATTGTCTGTGCTTTCTATGCAGAAGCTTCACATACTCCTAAGTTCAGAGTCTGATCTCCTCTTCCTTTGAAAGGACCTCTTACTTTACAGGGCTCGGGAAACTCTGAGATTATTTCACAGAAGGCTTTGATTAAATGCCACTCACTGCTAAGGACGGTACAGCCCATGAACTTGCATCAGGTTCTGTAGAAAGGATCCAGGAGGAGATCCTATCTTGCATTCTTAATGAGAGCAGGGTATTGTACTCCAGGTGAGATTGCCTTCTGCTGAAAACCAAAAAAGTCCTTTGCAATCAAGCTGCATACTCAAGGCCTTTGTTCTACTCAGAGACCATGTGGGTTCACCTGATCTGGGCATTTTTTTTAAGGCTCTTTAGTATGTGATACTTGTTTCCAGTGGTTTCAAGTAGTAGAGTTGCGGTAAAGATTTAAAAAAAAAAAGTACCCCAAATACAATAGTGAGCCTGTTTTGCCTTTGGTCCTTAAGGCTAGAGTGAAAGGACCCTGGGGGTCACAACACCTCCTCCACAGCCAGTTCCTATTTAGAAGGGGGGAGGAGGATTGCACAGAACTTTTCTTAAAAGGGGGGTCTGGGAAATACGATTGATGATCATGAACATAGTCATCCATAACTCACTTCGGTAATAGTCTTTAAGACTCACAACTCATTTACGTGCCTCCTCAAAACTGCTATTAAAAAGACAGAAGAAGATGAAAAATAACCACGTGGCAAAACAGAATCTGTTGGATTTAAGTTCGTTACGCTGATGGTTCCCCTGTTGCAAAGGAAATGATCATTTCCAAGGAAAACACCAGATTAGAGCCTGCCTCTAATGTAACAGCAGGACATTTATTTTGCCTGCCTACTAATCTCATTATGAGGTGAATTTATGTTCTGTCATGATCTGTGGTCTTTACCATCCAGGCTCCACTAAATTCAAAGGGACATTGTCAGGGAGCCACGCAGCCGACCAGGGCAGCCGCCCACTCTATGACTCTGATACTTTCTTTCATCATTTTATCTCTATTTTGATGGACTCCTCATTCCATCTGCATTAGTGGAGGCAGGAGGCGGCAACCAGTCTAAAAATAATGACAGCGACGTTGCGCTTCCCTGAAGGCTTCACACAGCATGAAAATGCTGATGTCTTGTTTTATTGATAATGAAAACTGAAAATAAACCAATAATGGCTTATGTTGCCTTTCCATTTAAATCTCTTAGAAGGAGCCCTATGTGAGCAGGAGCCCTATACAACCTGATGTTTGGATAGCTGTGACAGAAGGAACATAACTACTAAAGAATCACTGAAAAATAAAGCCAGTGATAGGATAAATAAAGCAACTAAGTGGTTGGATCTATGGAAATTCCAGAAGGCAATTTGTTTGCTCCAGTTCTGTGTTAAGCATAGTCATGTGCATACACTCCAGGCAGGGGATGGCTGGGATTCAGTGGCGGCCCCTCTTGCAGTAAATACGATTTATGTTGCCCATTCATGGAACAGAGGAAAAAGGATTGGTTTGGGTTTGGGTTTGTTTTTTTTTTTTTTTTTTGTAACTTTGGTAAGATGCTCTGGACTGTCCAGATATGTAGTGTTGCTGTACTTTGTGGTATCAAAGAAGAACAAACAGTGGAAAGGATAAAGTAAGTAGTTTTGCCGTCAGTTCAATTTGACTGCAGTGCGCACCCCAGTCTCCAGCAAACAGATGATTTTGAACAAACTTACTGTTATGAATAGATGCCTGTTTGTCCAATTACAGGGTTCAAAAGATAATGATAGATAATAGACTGAGCAGTAGGTAGTATATTACATTCTAGTGCTAAACGCCATTTTGAATCAGGATTCAATTACCCAAGCTTAAAAGAAATTTTTATCTCCTCTGTTGCTTTCAAATGTTTACTGTTAATTTACATTAAGATAGTAACAGGCTACTAAGGCCCAATTGTCTAATTTGACTAGTCTTTTCTTCCTAGTGAGATACTGAGATAAAAAGCAATTAAATTAGCGTTCTTAACTACATGGTCAAATCATATTATTAATCACCTGGGATTAGTTGCAAGACTTTGAAATATTCTAATCTTTCAAAATGTCTACATCTGGCTGGAAAAGATGAGTTTTGTGAACTTGATAAGGATAATTATTATATAACCTAGTATTTACAATGTAATGTTGAAACATTAGAAAGTAAACAAGACATTGGTAATGGACGCTCCCAGTTTAGTCGTTAACATCTATCACTGCTAATTGATGTCCTTATGGTTATTAGGACAGAATGATGTATCTAAAGCATAGGGACAGGGGACCCATGCAGGTTTTAATACCACCAAAGGGCCCTTCTAACTGGAGGTGAAATGTCCTCAATGATCGCCCCTTTGAGGAGAATGGTGGGTTTTGCTCATCTTTCTGTTTAGGCTATTTCTTGTTCCCCCTAGATTTTCATCTTTAGTCAAATTGGGTCAAAGTTTCTAAATAGTAATTTGGAGTTTAATGTGACAAACACCTGTCAAAGTTGAGGGAGCCGATGTACAAGAGCAGGGAGAGGTGTGCCTGACCCATTGCTACAATCATCTGCAGCCCTGGCTGTCCCCTCCTCTAGCCTTTCCACCTTGGACCCAGATGGCACCAGAGGAAAGGAACTCTCTGCTATCACCCTTGGGACCAACCTCTTGGATAAACTCAAGTGCCTTCTTACTAGGCCATAAAAGGAAAACCCCTGAGCAAGTACCCCCCTCTGATGATCACTATTATCTAAGAACAAGCATAAAGAGTAGCCACAACGTGCTTTGAGCCTGATGTTTTTGTGTGGCTTGTGAATATTATCTATCATATGCAAGTTTCAATTCTTCAAGAATCAATAACCCAGTTTTTATTTCACCCCTTCTTTCCTTTTTTGCTCATCTTTTGAGCTTTTCACTGCAGCACAAGGGTTGAAAGGAAGCAGAGAATTAGAGAGGGAGATAAAACAAAACTTGGCCCCTTTTGCTGTCTGTTAGCCTGTTCTATTATTGTTTTGTTTTATAATGTTCAGTATTGGAAAAGATGAAAACAATTTTGCTCTGATGAAAATCCCTTTTTCTCTGGCTTCAATTTTGACAAATAAAAGGACTGGGCCAGATGACCTCCAGCTTTAGTAGTCAGTGACTCTAAACCTGGAGGAGGGAAATCACCATGAATTCCAATGATCTACACACAAAGTTCAGCTAGCCAAAATATAGCTAATTTTAGGGCATGGACAAAAAAGTTGTTTTTTATCCTATCAACCCCATCCTGTAATGAAGTATTCCAAATTTATGCTTTTAGTGAATATAAAATCTTCTAGGAATAAAAAGAGAACCTTCTGGATTATGAGAAATCTCCACAGAGTTAACAAATTACTCTTAATTCCAATGTAATGGAAAAGGATTTTGATTTCTCTTTAATTGATGGTAACTGGGAATAAAGACTGAGAAGAGCCAGCCTACACTTTCCTCATTAATAAAAACAGCTTGCAGAGAGGGAGGATTTGGAAATAAAACTCATGTCCTCAGATTATCAGGGCAAAATTGTTAGAAGCATTTTCCAGACTAATTAATAAATCACAACTGTGAAAAGTCACCAGTAGTTACCCTGAGTTTACACATAGTACTACTTTTCTTCTAAAGAACTCAAAGACTCATAAATCAGAAAATAAACTCACAGGTAAAAAAATAAAAGAGATACAGATTTAAAGTAGGGTTTTAATGAGATGCTCTATTAGATCAACCCTTGGACAAATATAAAATGGGATTTTTTTTAAGTTTTATTTATTTAAGTTATCTCTATACCCAGTGTGGGGGCTCAAACTCAGGACCCTAAGATCGAGAGTCTCATGCTCTTCCAACTGAGTCAGCCAGGGGCCTCCCAGAATGGAATTTCAATACAAAGCCTAATTGTTTCAAGATTTACACAACACCCAGAATGTCTAGCATATCATTAGAACCAGTATGCTATTGACTGAAGCCCTTCATTCATTCATTCATTCATTCATTCATACATCAAACATTTCATGAGAACCTCCCTTGGACCGGGCCATGGTTTGTGACAACAAAAGAGGATAGAGTGACTGCCTTAAGAAGTCTCACAGAGCATTAACAGACTTGTAGACCAATAATTTGCCTAAAGAACAGGATGAGGGCATTTTAGACATTGTGTTCTGGACAGACATCCCAAGGCAGAGTTTTGCTGAGGGGTCAGAGTTTTCATATCTGTCAA